GACATAGAATATATATATATATATATATATATATAATCAAATCTATATGTAATTTTCAAATTCTCATTTTTCTCGAAAATTGAAAAATGAAAAAATTTATTTTATATTTTTTTATTATTTTTACATGTAAAATAATCAGCTATCGCTAATTCATTCATATCTAATCAGAAAGATAGCTAATTTTAGCTTTATATTTGAAAATTTTTCTATATATTTTCTATATATAAATATAGGAAAATATAGTATTTTAAAAAACAATAAATACTTACTACAAATAAATGTACAACTTTTAACTTTTCACTTTTATTATATTGGTATAATATATTGAAGTCATACTAGTAGATATGATAAAATAGAAAAATATTATTATTAATTTTCAATATCATTGCGATTAAGTGTGAAATAAATATTTCATTTATATTAAATTTAATTATAAATAGTATTTCTTTATTATTTAAATATTAAATCTAACAGAATTTTCAAATAGTATTTAATTATATAAAGATATTTCAATTTTCTAGTATATTTATTTTATTTCAAATTTTTTTTATATTATAAAATATTTATTTCGTGTCATTCAAATATAATTTTTCTCTTGATGAACACCTACATATTTTTTAAATTGATTTTCAAATAATATATATTTTTATCTTTATATCGTTGTATTTCTTCAGAATTAAAATTATTTCGATATTTTCAACAGTTTTTAATATTTTTTACTCAACCACGCATTCGATAATTATTTGTTAAATTTATCATTGATTTAAATAAAATAATTTCGTTTCTAGATGAAAAAAAGTTATATTTTATAGATAATAAAAATATAGAATTCCACAAATTCATTTTTTTCTTTTTTTTATTAAATGTATTCGCTTTCAATTTTAAAAAATAATTATTTATTATATATAGAAATAAGAAAAAAATAAAAGTATTTGTATAAACCTACATATTTCCTGAATTTCAAATATTATACTAGATAGATTGTTTTATAATAATTTGTTTTTATATCAAATAAACTCTTTTGAAATAATTACCTGAATACTTGATTTTATTAATGTTTATTATTTATAATTCAATTATTTTTCAATGTAAGGATAAAATAATTAATAAAATAGAAAATAAAATAATTGAAATAAATATTTTTTTACATATATTTATAATAAAATATTTCAAATTTATTTTTTTATTAAATTTTGTTTATTAATTGAATTTTATCTTAATTAATAATTTCATATATTACATTCTAAATAAATATTGATTAAATTATACTTTCGATAAATGTTTTTTATTAATTTATTTATTACTATAATAATATACTATAAATAAATTTTTAAATATTATTTCAACAAAACTATTTCAACAATTATTTCTATAGAATTATTTCTCTATTATTTATACAAAAATTAATTTGATTTTATATGTAAAAATATTTTACATGTCATTCAAAATATAATTTTTCTATATATAATTTTTATAATTTTTTTTATAATTCAAAATATAGAATAAAATATTATCATTTAAATCTTTAATTTTAAAAAATCGAGATTGAAATATATACAAATTGAGTATAATCAAATTCAAAATTAATAAATAGTAAAAATAAATTATATTAAAGTTTTAATTATTAATTAATAAATTTTTCATTAGAAATAGTTCTATGAAATGTAGAATGCACAAAATAATTTTTTAAAAAATAATAATTTTTTTAGAAATTTATCGTAGAATAAGAAACTCTTAAATTCCTTCGCTTATTCGTCAATAATATACAATCTCTTACATACACATTATCAAATATACATATGTAATACTTTAATTTTTGTTTCTTCTCTAAATCCGAAATATCTACATATCCATATACAATTTAAAATTGAGGTCAACATTATTCATACCGTGTCACATTTATATAATACTTGAAATCAAAAAAATATATCGTACACTGCACAAAAGAATATTTTGCACTTCACCAAGGAATATTCGGCATATTCTAACATAAAAACAAGAGTGTTTCCTCTTTCTGAAATTGGTTACACCATATGCGTTTTATTCTGTACATGTTTCGTGAATTTGCCATATAAACAGTTTAGATGTAATTGTTAGAAAGATAGATTATCTATTCGCAATGTATAACTCTTTCAATTTTAACTAAATAATAATAATTAATCACTTTTTATAAAATTTGTATAATAATTTATTATAAATCTATTTAATATTATTCTTTTTTTATTCTATTTATAAAACTATAAAATTTTAAGGAAAAAATCTATAACCTAACATTATTAGTTAATAAATTACTCAAAAGCCAGAGGGCTCTAGTCTCTATTAAGCTTTAGGGTGTGAATACATTGGAGAATAAAACATCAAGATTGCTCTTGAAAGTATTTTACGCAAATAGAAACTACATTAAGAATGATTGTTGAAGACTAATTTTCAATGTAATATTTATATATTTGGAAAAAATAATCTTGAAAGTAATTCATAAGATATATTTTATCTCAAATATATCTATATTTTTAAATAAAATCTAGAATTGTTTTCATTATTATTTTATCTGATATAAAATTATAAAATTGTTGAAAAGAAATTTGTAATTTTACGATATATTATTTACCAAGTTTTAAAGAGAACGTGTTATTACTTTATTTATTTTTTTTTTCTAAAGTTAAATTTAATCTGAACAAATTAATCTGAATATTCTATTTATTATAAAATTATAAAATTATGGAAGAGAATTTTATAATTTAGCAATATGTTATTTTTCTGTTCATTAATATTATAATTTTATACTATATAATTATATTATTATTATAATATTATATTTGTAGAAGAGAAATCTACTAGTTATTAATGCATTGCCAATTCATTAATATTACTAGTTAATAAATTACTATATAAGAGTGCTCTAGTTGCTTGACAGACAAAGCTTAGTCTATATCGTTCTCTTTCCACTTAATCTTACGGAAGTCTCGTCTAATTATATACACAGTACTTAACAATTTTCCGGATCAATATAAAAACGAAACCATAATCTTTAAAATCGATCCTTTTCTGCACTCGAACAAGAGAGAATCCTAAAATCTATCTTTCTACTTTTATTAGCTTACTCTCTTTCGAAACATAACCTCAATCAGTAGTGTATATATTTATAGAGTCAGCCTGTGTTTACTTTACACTCACCTTGTAGAAGTAGAAAGAGTCGATCTTCGTCGCGTTCGCATCTAGCAGCGTGATATTCAGATAATCCTCCGTAAAATTCAAAGTTAATCCCTCTTTCAGAAATGTGTGATTATCATCGGTTCTACCCACGATTTCTTTCACGGACATTTCGTCCTTTGTTCGTCTTCACCGCGGTTATTTCGCGATTCTCAAGTTTTTTTTTCTCGGTGATTCGGCCACAAAAAATTCATGGCTTCTCACGAATTTGTAACTAAGCGTCCGACGACTTCATTTCGTCCCACCTTGTCTGGCGCAAGAACGATTTCCGCTTGATTCACCTCGGATTGATTTCACTGGATTTGTGATTACCGCCGAGAGTCGTGATCCTCGAACATTCTTCCGGACACTGTTTTCGACGACTCTGCGCGAAGAAAGGTTTTTTTTAGGGGAATTCGAAGAGTAGAGGTGGGGGATTTGTACGGTTTATGGAGTGAAATGACATTGAAACTCGGCTGTTTACTCGGTAGTTCGACTTTTTGAATCGTAATTGAGATATTTTCCTGATTCAGACGAAAGGATTGTTAATTGTTAGTATATCAAGGTGAGATGATCAACATTCTTCATCGTTTTGCTTCATTCATTTTCATTGTTTTTGTTTGTTTATTTACATTATATATAAAATGTTAAAATAACCCTAGAATTCCATATATTATCCAATACAAACAAAAAAGTTGATATATAAAAATTTTTACTTATTTATTAATCCTTAAATAATTTAAGTTTACTTAAATTTAAGTTTAGAATAAATAAAAATAGAATTGTGAAAGAATGAGATGATTTGACTGTTCAAAGATAAATGAAGAATAAATGGAAATAGAACTGTGAAAGAATGAGATGATTTAATTGTTCAAAGATAGAACTGTTCCATTTTATTTTTATCTTGTCTTATCTAATGCAAACTTAAATTATATCTTAATAAATAAGTTTTAATCAATGTTTTTGTATATTCACTTTTATATTTTTTTTGAATCGATTTTTCAAAGATATTCCATAAATATGTTAGTCTATGATAAATATATCACATAATATATACAACACATATACAATATATATATATATATGTATTTATTTATTTATATATGAATTACACTTATTTATAAATATATTTTTATGTTTGTTTATATTATAAAATTTTTTTAATTAAAATATTTTTATTTTAACTAAATGAATTACATTCAAAGTTGTCAAACTAATTAATAATGAAACTTTGTTCCAGCATAATGAAATCTGAAATGAAACAAAACAATCGATCCTTTTATACTTTTAAGCTTGATTCACATTACAGATAGATCGTGTCAATATCGCTCACACGATAATCCAATAAAAACATTGCTAGAAGATTAAATCAAAGTGAAATAAATTGACAATGAAATCGATTTACTAATAATCAAGATCAATCATTATTTGATAATTGAAAAAAATTAATATTTAGACAACAAGTATTTAATAAAATTCATTCAAAATTCATTGTATGATTTCAATCTTAAAAGCATGATTAAAAATTTATTCAAATATTAAAATTCATTTCAAAAAAACAAAATTATGAATCTAAATAAAAAAGATACTTCAGAAATATAATAATAATAAAATCACTTCCATTATTATTCCTCGAGCAAACGAGTCAATATTTTCATGATACTTTTACATCAATATTTAATTATATCTGAATTATTGAGTGTGAATGCTTTGGTCATTCTAACATAAAGTAAATAACGAATGAATCAAGAACAGTATCGAAAATTTTCCACTCGATATTCCCTTAATTGATATTGCATTTCTTCTCGAAACGAAGATGAGGCCAGGAGGACGATTGAATCGTTCCTATATGAGATACATCGTATATCACTGGTGGGACGACAGTAAGGCCGTAAATCAAGGGCCTTTCAACGTGACCGGTTGAAAAATCCGATTCTTAAAAATCGGTGCATCAGGAGAACCTGTTCTGGGAAGAAGCGAGCCGTCTTCCTGTTACGTGGGAGCATTTCGTTATGCTGGTTATGTCGAGTAACCTCTAAGCGAGAAGCGGGAAATAGAAGGAAGCGGATCACGGGTGGTAATACCCGTAGATGTGATAGTACTAGAGAATGTTTTAAGACTGATCGATGGAAAAAATCCGGATGTTCGTATTCTATTCGATCTTTGGAAAGAAGATCTGTGTTTGGAGATAGTTTTATATTGAAATTTGTACAAGATTATTCTGAAAAAATGAAGAAATTAGATTTTATGAGTGAGAATTATGGAATAGAAAGATATGTTTGATATAGTGAAAAGAAGAATTATTTTTTGAGAAAGAAAAGAGAATATAGGTTATATGTATAAAGTGTTGACATTAGAGATAATGTAGAGATTGAGTATAGAGAGAAAGGTTATAGAAAGGTTATATATATAAAATTGTATGAAAATAGATTAATTAAGGAGATAGGTTATATTGCATAAAGTATCGAGATTATATAGAATTTTGAATATAGAGAGATTGTGTATATATAAGTATGTATAAGAGTTGTATAATGAAAATAGATTAATTAAGATAATAAGCTTATAGAAAGAAAATGATGTAATGCATTATTCTTAATTTTTTTTCTTTTTTTTTTTTTTGAAAAATATATTTTGAAATGAGAAATTAATTGAAGCATCTTAGAAATTTAAGTTAAATTCTAATCTAATTTAATTTTTATTTAATTTAATGTAAATTTAATCTAACCTAACATAATTGAAATCTAATTTAATTTTGAATCTAGTTTAATTTTCTATTTAATAAATTTTAAATATGAAACGAATTAAAGAAAGAGAATATTATATTTTTATTTATTTACATAAAATAATGGAAAAATTAAGCTATAATTTCTTAAGCTGACTAGAGTCAAATCTTGTTTTAATGAGAGAATAGACTTTAAAACAAAATTTATGAAATTATAAAATTAAGAAAAATTATTTCATAAATTTTGTTATCTCATCATCTTGTTTTGAATGAAATAAAACTCTTAAAAAGAAATTTGTAATATTATCAAAATGAAAATGTTTTAGTCAATTATATTTTCGGTAAAGAAAAAACTTTGAATTTTAAGACATCATGTCTCTTTTAAAAAAAAAAATCGCAAAAAATATATTTGCCATAAACAATAGTATGAAAATTGAAAAAAATAAATTTATGCAACTCAATGTAACTTTTTTTAAAAATATTTGAAAATCCAAAATGTAGATATACGTAAAAATAATCCTAAATGTAATTTAATTTTACATCTGAATAATAATTTTTAAGCTGTTCATAGAACGATGAAATCTTTATTTTATTATATATTTTTTTATTATAAAAACAACGACAAAATTTTTTTCTTCAAGCAAGATTTTGCTTTAAAAAACGAGATAAATGTTCAAACTTAACATTTTTTTTTTTCACAAATGGAAATCCAGTTATCATGCTTCCAAGCTATTTTTCACTGTAAATGTGTTCATAATTTATGATCCTAATCATTTAGTTAAATTGCATTGTTATGAACCATTGTCTTCCACGATTATAATATCTGTCTTATGAATATGAAAAATCAAGGTCAAATTAAAATTCGTGCAGCTAATAATATGTGGTCAAATTTTAGATTTCTTAAATTTTTGAATTAGCCTAAATTTTTGATTTTTCAAAATTTAAATCATTTTTTCAATAAAACTAATCTCACGATCGATACCTTCGTCCAATTAAATGGAAATTATTACAAAATAAAAAAAATAAATAAAATCGTATGATTATTGATATATCATTGATACGATTATTAATAATACATAAAAAAAAAAATCAAAATTTTATATATCAAACTATCAGAAGTTTCATTTATCAATCTTTTATATTATTTGATTATATTTTGAATTGGTTTATAAATCGTCACATAAAGGAAAAAAAATTAAGATCGTTGAAAAAAGCTTATTAAAAAATTTCATTTTCCATTTATTCTTTTGTTTTTTTATTTCATTTCAACTTACTGTTTCTTCGAAAAACTTTAACAATAAATAAAATAAAAACTACATGATTTGTGATTATCGATATTAATTTTCTATCAAGGAAAAAAGATGAAATTTTGCTGAATTTATAAAGAATTCCATTATTTTCATTTTTTTATTTTTAATCATTCCACTTCCCTGAATTTTAATAATGAAATTTAAACCATACAATAAATCAAATAATAAACCAAAATTGCATATAATTATTAATATTATTTTTTTATCGAAGAAAAAATCTGGAAATTTTAATAAATCTCTAAAAAATTTTATCCATTCTTTTTTTTCATCGTCTGATTGTTTGAACTTCAATGACAGAAAGAAAATAAAATTGATGTTGAAAGCCAGTGAAAATGAAAGTTAAATAATATGGAATTTTTCTGTTTTTTAATTTAATTTTCTTTTATAATATCTACTCAGAATTTCAAACATAACGAATGACAATTGTGTTTCATTCTTTCTTTCATTCTTTCTAAATGTTCAATCATATTCAATTCAATGATTACCAATTTCATTTAATTAAATTTATCGATGTTATAATTGGTGTGTAATGGATTTTTATTCATTATTCATTATTCGTTATTCAAATTTATTCGTCATTTTTGATAGAAAATTTCTTTGACAATATGATAAAGTGGAATATTTAATCAATCTTTGGTTAAAAATAGAAATAATAAAACCCCTTTTACATAATGGGATTATTTTCTTTGTAAAATTTTTATTTTCTAAACCGACGAATAGTAACATTTTATTTATAATATAAAAGTTCGTGTTATGAATTTAAGTTAAATATGTTTTCTAAACACAAATATACCGACAAATGGTAATATAGAGCCATCCAAATTTAGCATCGTATCTCGCATTTCAATTTTTTTATTTAAATATAAAGATCAACTTTACAAAATTAATCAATACAATAATAGAATATCATTCAAACTTTTTTTTACGAATTCATATTGTTTATTAACCTTTTTTTAAATACAATTTTGCTTAATAACGATTCCATCCATCAATAACGATTATAATATTGTAATTTTAATTAATTTCAATTATTTTTTGGATTATTGGAATTTGCTATGTACTGCTATATACTGCATATTAAAACAATCGCATTAATAAAGGAAAAATTTAATTTCACAAGAAAGAGGACAAAATAATCAAGATCATGCAATTTAATTTCATTAAATTTTTTCTTTTTTTGAAAAGTTAATTTTATGTCAATAATCGAAAAATGAATAAAATTTATGAATCGAAATATTGGAAGTCACTGTTACATAAAAGTCTATTAGAAAATTAGATAAAATGAATAAAATTTATAAAAATTGATATGATTATTTGAATAAAGTTATGTTCTATGATTAATTTTATAGAATAATTTTTATATTGAAATAAAAAACTTGAAATATCTCCAATATTTTATATTTTAATTCAATTTAAAAATGTGACAATCAACATGGACATCCTTATTTTTTTTATGTATTTTTATATATATTTTTTCATAAAATATTTATATAATCATATAAAATTTTTAGAATTAAAAAAACTCGGTCGATAAAGTGATCTGATTCGTTTTTTTTTTTTTAATGAATACATTCCTCCCTTCCGAATCGTATTCTAATTGCTTTCTTTCCTTCGATACAATCGAATAAGAAAAGAAAAAAAAAAAAAAAATCACATTCGATAAATGCACAGTGTCACACTTGCAAGCAACGACAATGTGTTGGTAATTCATTCCGCAACAGGTTACGTTCTTTTACTTTTGTGCTTGTCAACCGATGTCTTTCGCGAAAAAAACATTCTCAGTGTGTTACATGTCCTCGGAACGCGAGATGAAATTTATTCGAAATACACGATTGTCTTTCAACGAGATCGAAAAATACGAAAGTTCCGCGAAGAAACATCGATTCGACACCGTCATTTTTTTTTTTTTCAATTTGCAATCGTGAAATATTTCGATCAGGAAATGAAAAAATTCCTGATTTCCGTGTATATAAATGAATGTCATCCGTTTGTAAAGTTGAATTACTTGAATTTTTCTTTGATTAGTCTGATATTTTAACAAAGCGAAAATAAAAATTCTAATTATTACAATGAAACTTCTATGAATCTTTTCATTTCTAATCAAAATTTTCATGAAAAATTCTTAAGAAAATTGATTAGCATCCAATTACAGATTTTCATCTCTGTTAATGTAACAAAATATACTTGTTATAATAAGAAATGGAACAAGGGTGGAAAATTTCAATTTTTATCGGAATAAAAAAAAAAAGAAACAAGGAAAACAGCAAAATGTTACGATTGCTCTTTTCACCTTTAACGAGAATCCTTGGGCTGGTTTTTTAAGTTCGATGCATTTTTGATTATCCTTTTGATTGCGCTTTTTTTTTCGCGGACTGCCGTTTCGTCAGAAATATAAAAAGAAACGCAAGAAACGATTCCTTGTCGAGACGGAAATAATGGTGGACGGAGTATGGAAAAAAGAGTTGGGAAAATGCTATGTAAAGGAAGTTGGAAATGGGGTGAGAACAAACGAGAACACACTTGCTCGTACGACGCGCCGAACGCGACTGAGCCGGCGAACAAATCCGCGGTGACTATACTTACATTTTCGTAGACGATGCTGTACGCGTGTAGGAGTTTGCAAGCTGCGTACGCATGCGCGATAAAAATCCTGCCGCGGCTACTATCGCGATAATCTCGAATAATGTTTTGAAATTTTTATTTAAATAATATAAAAAAAAAAGAATATTTGAGAAAAGAAAATTTTAACGTGTGAATTGATGAAGAACAGTTCTCGGAATTGATATGCATTCGTTTGCAATATGTAACATGAAGGATTAAAGAAAGATTAGAAATGTTAAAAAAATGTAACACGTGGATCAGTTTTCACTTAATATTCTTATGCATTAGTTTGCAACTTTGCAATTATACGGCATTAAATCAACGGAATAGTAATTGTCTATAATGAGGAATTTGTGAGATTTTTGTAATCATTTAATTGTAAATAATTTTTTTTTTAAAACATTTTCTAACATTTTTATGGTAATTTATGGTATAATTTATGATAATATCATGTAGCATAATATAGCAAAAAAAAGTTTTTCAATCTTCTATTTTTATAATTCTCGATAAAAGATGGTAAAACAAGGATAAGTTTATGTCTAAAATTTTACTAGAGAAAATAAAAATATAAAATGTTTTCTCTCTCTTCTTTTTTTTTTTTCATTTAAAAATTATCTAGTTATAAATAAAAATGATTAAATAAATAATTTTAAAATTAGAAATTTTACTTATTACAGAATGTCAAATATATTACAAATTCGTCGAAGAGATATAATAATTCGAATTTTCATTAATATTTTAAAACTAAAATAATATACAAATTTATTTGTTTATTTATTTATTTATTTATTGATTCTTTACGAAATAAATTATGAAAATTATGAAATAAATTAGAATATAAAATTAATTAATATTTCTAATATCATTTCTAGAATAAATTGGAATATTTCATTAAATATGCATATATTAAAATTTATTTGTTACAGTGAAAGTAAAAATCATTAACATTTGATTGATTAATAGCAATTAATGATTAACTACACGTGAACTTTAAACACCTCTTTACAACAATTTTATAGTTTATAGAGTAACAAAAATTACTTCGATCAAAAAAGAAAATCAAAAAAAAAAAAGAATTAATTTAAAAATTTAATTAATTATTTTCTAATGATCTATATTGATTCATAATTTTCATTTTATTTAATTTTTTATATTTTTTGAAAATTTATTTTCTTTAAATTTTCTCTAAATCTCAAAAATTTAAAAAGTGAATGAAATTGCTCTGAAACGAACAATTTATTAATCAGTGACAATTTCAGAGAGAATATCAATACAACTCTATCCTTACGACTTCATTCGTTGAATACGAAGCATATACATATATATATATAATCATTAACATTACACAACTTGTCCACTTTCGTCTCTTTCCAATATTGAATTATGTACATTGGATATAATTGATGATATATACATAACATATCCACGTATCATCAACAATGCAAAATATTTCGCATCTTGAATGTAACAATCGTCTTTAGCTCAATAATATTTGACATTGGCAGCATTAGAGAGTTCTCGAATGCCTTTACTCCCACCTTATGCACATCCATTTGTCAAGATTATCGACTGCTTTCCCGTTACACCTCTGCATCGAATTTCTCTATACTTATGCTACAGTTACATGGGAATTGAACAGATAGCAAGCGGAAATGAAACGTGGGTGAGAAAAATGGATTATACGATGATAAATTTGTATACTCGAGAAGATAATTCTATTTGTTGAAATAGAAAGTAAAAAGTGTTATATAAACTATTTTATATACATTAGTTTTCGAGATAAGAATCATTAGTATTTTTCTTACATATTAAATTTTTCAAGAATTATGTCATAGAATATTATATTATATTAATATAGAATAATCATGAAGTATCTTTAAAAGATATTGGAGATCAAGTATTTCATAAATGTAAAATAATAATTAGCATTGGAAATAAATATGGTTTTTCATTTTTTTTTTTTTTAATGCTTAAAGTAATATATGAAGTATTATAAAATTATAAAATAATGTCAAGTTGTGTTAAAGCAATTATGTTAAAAAATAAGTACAAATACAAGATTTAATAAAAAAGGAAGAATAAATATTCACAATTTATTATTATTATTTCTGAAGCAACTATAAAAAGTATATTTTTCCTTCATCATATATATATATATATATATCACACATTGAATCATAAACTATATTTTTATCATTAATTCATAATTAAAGAAAATTATATAAAAATTTTTATTATATTGATTGTGATTTCTTTAACTTATTATTATTAGTTATAAGTAATTGATGTTACACGTGTAATTATTTCTGAGACAAGTATTTTCAAAATATTTGATCATGTTATTTAAATATAATAATGTCATTTTAAAACTTTGATTACAGTTGCAAAGAATCATTTATTATTATAAACTTTTTATTAAATCATCAAAATTGCATTGAAAAATTGAATAGATTTAACATTGAAAATATATCATATATTAAAAAATTACAAACAAATTCTTTTTTATTAATTAACCATATGCAGTAAAAGCAAGAATTAAAGAGTAGAAGTGATATTAATATAAAAATCCATATTCTAACCTAACATTAAAGAATTGATATATCCAGTAGAGTAAAATAGTACTGTCATGCTACTGTCTGATTCTATTGCCATCTAACGCAAACTTCAATTACTTACAGCTAAAATGCAAATGTTCATCCAAATGCATAGAATATAGAACGATAATATATAGATAAAAGATACAAAATCTAGACAAAAATTTGTTTAGTCATTGGAAGATCTTAAAAATATTTTTTTTATTGCATATGCATTGCATAATGTTTATACTTTGCACATTTTTCTTTTTTGAAGAGAAGAATATTCGTACAGAGATATTGCATATTTTGCTTATTATATAGCATATTTGTATTACAAAATTGAATTCTTTTGTTATCGACAAGTATTCATAAATATCAATAGTATATTGTCGTTGAAATACATTTTTTTAAAATTAAAATTTAAAATATAATATAGATATATTTTAAAAAATTATATACAAAATTGTAAATATATACTTTATATTATTTGTATATATTTCATGTATGTAAAGATATATACGATATATATATTTTTATAAGTATAAATGGTAATTTCTTAAATATTTGATGAATATGAATATCTGCATTTTATTTATAATTTAATAAATAAACCTTAACAAACATTTTTAGTACCAACTTTTATATCTGTTTTGATTTTTAGAATCTATCATCTAAATCCTATGAATATATTAATATTTAGTGAATATATATCATGAAAATCTTGTATATATTTTTTTTTAATGAATATATATATTAGTACAATGTTTAATATAATAATTATATAATTTTTAATTTGATAATTAAAATTTAATTAATCATTTTATATCATATTAATATTTTTTTCTATTATGCTTTTTTAATATAAACAATGAATTTTATTTAAGATTTTTATTCAAAATGTCATACAATATTAATAATTAATAATAATATAATATACGATGCGATAATTATAATTTATTTAACAATTATATATTATATTATTATTATATTATACCATTAATACCATTCATACTATATATATATATATAATCATACGTATTCAAAAATATTGTCCGAATATTATCAAATATATTTTATAATATATTTACCGTACAATAACATCTATTAACAAAAGAACATCCAATTTTATCAATTTTAAAATTTATATTAAAAATAATTAAAAAAGAAAATAATTTTCACATATTTTTTTATCAATTAAAGTTAAATACGATTGAATACACAATTTTCATTTTTTTATTTATTTAATATATATAATACTCAAATATTTATCGACAATTTTTTTTTAATTATCTCAATTAATTATCATATAAATTCCGTTAAAATCGTACGTATGCTTTGTATACGTATATATACATTGTTCCATTCATATTCATCGCATTATATTTTTTATATTCTTTTCTTATTTCAATATATAGATTCATTGAATTATCGATATCAATTTAATCATTCAATATATACATATATGTATGTACACAAAGCTGTGAGCAGAGAGCGAGAAATAACTATCTGCCCGGTATAATTATAGCAATGAATGATAATTAATCGAGCATCGAACGACAATCTCATTAATGAGTATGCATCGAATTAGACGCGCTTATTGGCCCGCATTTTGCCGTAGAAGGTAAAATACGATGATTGTCATTCGAATTTCGTAATACACGTATATGCCACGCATTGTTGTTGCTTATCGATATAGGCGGAAGTGCGTTCGCCCATATTTTCAGCATGCACCGATGGTAAAACAGTTAGTCACCGGGTGCTCATCGCGAAAACTATCGAAATTCGAAGCACGTCGCAACGTATGCAACGTATTCGTGGGGAACAAAGCAACAAAAGATCTTTTATCAACGTCGTTCCACTCGTCAATAAACATTTTTCATCAAGTTCATTGATACGTCGCTGTTTGGAAATTCAATGCGCTCTGTCTTTTTTATCGACCGGTTCTATAACGACTTTCTAGGAGAGAAGGAATTTTCTTTCTTTTTTTCCCTTTTCGTGAATTTTTTTTTATTTTTTATGAATTCTTCAGAAGCGATATTACCAAAAAAAAAAAAAAGAAAGAAAGCAGAAAATTTTTGCACTGCATTGCTCTCGACAAGTGTTGAATAGTAAAACGTGGAGATAAAATTTCCTATTGACACAAATTGAAATCGTTTGTCCCATTGTGAGGTAATTTGCTCGTCTTGCTACGCCAGGAAATAGACCGCATCACCTCATTACTCGCATTTCTCATAATTCGCACTACCAGAAATTGTGTGCTTGTATTATTTTTCGCAATGATAAGCAACTATTATGATATGTATATGACTTTCCAATGTTTCTTAGGTTGATCCAAAAGTTCTTTCTGTTATTTATTTAGCATATGCTTTGGCTGTCACAATTTCAAAAATACATGTTTATTTTTCAGATTTCTCTTCTAACTTTCCAATATTTTTTCATTAGGTCTCCATTGTTGAGAATATTATCGATTATCGATCTATCAAATAATGTTAGAAAAACAGATTACAAATTGATTAGATTATTTACAAGAAACAATTATTTATAATTTATTCTTTCACAATCATACTTGAAATAAAATCACATTAATTTTTTATGATGAAATTTTTAAAAATGTTATTAAATCTCGTTATCTCTTATTTCTTTGCAAATAAATCTAAAGTTTTCATTTTGAAAAAAATAACACGATAGAGGATATTCTACGTAAAATATCATTGAAATATATGAATATTTTTCACATGGATTATCATTCTTGAAATTATCAAAGGTAATAATGTGTAATAAAAAAATTAAAAGAACATTTCGGAGAACGTAATATTACCTTTAAAATTAATAAACAGCATTAAATTTTTATAACACTGTGCTCGCATTAAAAGAGCTTCCTGCTCATCACCTTCAAAGACTTCACTTTGATCCCTGGAAACAATTGATTCCCCTTTTCATCCACCATATCTACGTAATCTTTCTCAATCAATGTTTCGAATCCACATCGTGCGGCCAGTTTCTGAGAGATCGGTGAGGTGAACGCCGTGGACGTTACTGAAATGTTGTATTCACGGCCAATGTCCACTCTGTGTTGTACAGAAATTTATTAAAATTTACATAAAGGGAGTAAATACGCTAATATTAAGATGGAAATATGAAATATGAAAAAAATTCTTTTTATACCTTTATTTCTACGTTATACAGGGTGGCTCATAATTGATGATCAGCGACAATTACGATGAAAGATTTTCCCATTTTTCATTTTGAAATAAAACGAGCTTGGAAAATTTTCAAGTACAATTAAATTTTTGATTAGATACGAGTAAACTATCGATAAGTGATTCTGCACAGAAAAAAAGACACAGGATAAATTTTATCATTTGTCTTTAACTAAGAATTGAAATTGAACATGTATTAGGTCGAAGAGTCGTGTAATGGTATTTCAAATTTAACTTTTTCAAAATTTTTTAAATAAAAGAAATTTACCAGTGAAGGGATAATTATCCAGCGAGATAAGCCAACCTACACAAACATGTAATCACACGCATTCTTATAATTAGCTGAACTCGTTATCATTATTATTATTATTATTATTATTAACTGTCACTAATAGCACATACCAATGTTACATTTGATGTAGCAAATGGTTTATAGTCAGCTTATACACAGCAAATAACACAATATTTATTGCTAATTCATATTTTATCGGGAAATGGTCAATAATTACAGTTGTACTGGAAAATTTTTCAAACTTGTTTCACTCGAATGAAAAAAATTTTGTTCTTTTTTTTTCTTTTTTTTTTTTTTCACATACGATTATACTTTCAGTACACATTCTTCACTTCTCTACATTTCACTCAATATCTCATAGCAAATAATTCAAAAAATGATTATCCTCGTCAATTTTATTCATTCCTTTTTTTTTTTTTTTCGGTTCAAATTAAATTTAGTTAAAATAAAATATGTATGTAATTTTGAACGAAGAAATTTGAACTGTTTAAATTTGGTGTGCAGAAACAAGTGCGGGGACAAATGTTTTAGAAATAGAAGGTAAGTGTTGGCACGGTTCCAGAAATTAGTGTGCGAAACAACTGTGCACAAAATGAGCATTTCATCGAAGAGAAATAAATCAATCTTCGATCTTAAGCAGCAATAAATTTACAATAAAGATAAAAGTTCGATTTTCCTAATCGCGTCTCTCTTAAATGTAGATATTGTCTATCCAAGCTGTGAAGACAAGCTGGGAATGGAAAACAATATACCAATATGATTGAACCATTTTGTACCTGGCATTAAGAAGATGACCGCCCAGAGCGGCTCCTCTGTACGACGGATCCACCGAGAGGCCGAAAGCGGTCATATATTTATCCACCCCATATTTCTCAAATACGTTTACCTTTTTGGTCAGCTCGACCACAGTTTTCACTACTTTCTGCCCATTTCTCGACTGAAAAAAATTCAAACGTTTCCCTCAATTTTATTTTCCTTCCTTCGGTCGGATTTTATTAAAACTTACCTTAATCGCGTTATAATCTATTTCCTCCCCCTTGAAAGTCAATGCGAGCATGTTGCATCCCGCGATTATTGGCTTACCGCCATTCGCATTTTCCGTGAACGCAGCCACTGATAAACCTTGTTTCAAAAATTGGATCCAAAAGTTTTTGAAGGTTTCCACGTATTCAGGATCGTTTATTCCGTCTGAAAATAGCAAATGTTTTTTTTTTTTTGTCATTTTTTTTGCTCCCTCTAATATTATTTGTCGCGAATAAAAAATAGTCGAACGAATATTCATGGTATGATTTTCACAGTGCGAAAAGATCAGCGTTATCCGATAATTAACTGTGAAAACAGTTGAATCGACGGGAGTTCAAAATAAATTTGAGGAAACAAGCAGTTGAAACGAAACAGGAAAAATAAAGTGGTAGAGAAAAAAGATTTTATGATATATATGGTTGATTCGCGTATTTTAATTATAAATTATTTTTTAAAAATATATATACATATATATTATATATATATATTTTAACATTTTAAAAGAGAAATTAAGATTTTGATAAAATTTCGAAAAGGAATGTAACGAAAAGGAAGGAAAATTTAAAGAATATTGCATTTCTAAGTTTCTAATTTTGGTAGAAAAAAAAAAAAAAAAAT